GAAAAAGGTACCCTGAAACCATTTAAAAAGCAAATGCTGAGCCACAAAGGTGCCAAGAACATGCTTTGAAGAAAAGATGGCCTCTTTTAACAAATGGTGCTGGGAAAACTGGAAATCCATATGCAACAAAATGAAATTAAACCCCTATCTCTCACCATGCACAAAACTCAACTCAAAGTGCATGAAGGACCTAGGAATTAAACCAGAGACACTGTGCCTAATAGAAGAAAAAGTAGGCCCTAATCTCCATCATGTGGGATTAGGCTCCAATTTCCTTAATAATACTCCTGTGGCACAAGAATTAAAATCAAGAATCAATAAATTGGATGGACTCAAAATAAAAAGTTTCTTCTCGGCAAAAGAAACAATCTGTGAGGTGAATAGAGAGCCTACATCTTGGGAGCAAATCTTTACCCCTCACACCTTAGATAGAGCACTAATCTCTAGGGTATATAAAGAACTCAAAAAAACAAACCCAAATAACCAATCAATAAACGGGTCAAGGACCTGAACAAACACTTCTCAGATGAGGACATACAATCAATCAACAAATATATGAAAAAGTGCTCATCATCTCTAGCAATTAGAGAAATGCAAATCAAAACTACTCTAAGATTTCACCTCACTCCAGTCAGAATGGCAGCTATTATGAAGACAGACAACAATAAGAGTTTKCGAGGATATAGGGGAGAAAGTCCACTGATACATGGGTGATGGGACTGCAAATTGGTGCAGCCAATATGGAAAGCAGTATGGAGAATCCTTGGAAAATTGGGAATAGAACCACGATTTGACCGAGCTATCCCACTCCTAGATCTTCAGCCAAAGGACTTAAAAACAGCATACTTCAGGGACACAGCCACATCAATGTCTATAGCAGCACAATTCACAATAGCTAAACTGTGGAACCAACCYAGATGCCCTTCAGTAGATGAATGGATAAAAAAAATATGGCATAGATGGAGTTGGAGAAGATAATGCTAAGTGAAGTTAGCCAATCCCAAACAACTAAATGCTGAATGTTTTCTCTGGTATGAGGAGGCTGATTCATACTAGAGTAGGGAGGCGGAGCACGGGAGGAACAGACAAACTCTAAGTAGGGCAGAGGGGTGGGAAGGAAAGGGAGGGGGCATGGGGTTAGAAATGATGGTGGAATGTGATGGACATTATTATCCAAAGCACATGTATGAAGACACGAATTGGTGTGAATATACTTTGTACACAACCAGAGAGATGAAAAATTGTGCTCTATATGTGTAAAAAAATAAAAAACAAACACTGAGCTGTCATCAATGCCAGCCCCGAGTCTAGGAGACATCGCTGACCTGTGTGCGAGTGCGTGTGTGAGATTGAAAAGAGAGGAAAGCGACTCAGCCTGAGCTCCCTCCCAGGATGTCACCTTGACTCTGGTATCTTCCTACATGTCCTCATCCATTCCCCCATCCGACGTGGGGCTCAAGGGCGCATGCTCTGCATGATGTGCTGGTCACTGGGGGCCTAGGAACTGGCCCATGGGAGGCTCTCAGTGACTATCAGTTGGATGATGGGACCTGGCAATGGTTCCCTCCCTTCTGTGCTCATGCCCTGGGGAGGAAGGTGCTTGGGGACAGGTAAATGCTAGTTCTAAGGACATGGGCCCACCATGGTGGCAAGAGGACCAGTGTAAAGGGATGGGGTGTTGAAGCAGCAAGGAATTTAGTTGCTGGCAATAGAAGTCAAGTTTAAATGAAATAAGTCAATAAATAATAGAAGTCAAGTTTAAATGACAAATAGTCACCATGAATACGGACTGAGCACTCTGTCACCAGGATGCCTGCACAGCCCGAGCCTCCAGGAACAGTGTCACCAAATCCTGCCTCAGGGCTGCTCTGGTGGAGACACTGCTGAGGAGCTCTGGGCATTGTCACCAGCGGCCCCGAAGCCCCTGGCCCAGGAACTCCTCCTGCCACGCTCCAGCTCTGGCTTCCAGGGGCTCCATGTCAGCCTGCCTTCATGGCCGTAAGCAAGACCAGCACATCTCCCTGACTCACACCCTCAGCGAGGCTGAGGGCTTTCTCTGGCTGCTGGACCTGCTCCACTGCTCCTTTGGTGGACGGGGAGTCTGTGGGAATGAATGCCTCCCCCAGAACCCCCTCACCAAGGACTGAGGGCAAGGGGTGTCAGTACCCCAGCTCCCCCGCCCTCGTGGGGCACTCTGGGGTACGTGTTCTCCATCAGCGCCTGGAATTCCCCAGGGGGACCCCGCTCCAGTGGCCTCCCATGCTGAGTGGTGGGATAACGTGCCTTTGATCCRCCACCCTCCTGGCACACTTCCGCTGTCCCTCACTGTGTCTCTGCACAGATTCCTTGGTTTCATCACATCCCACACCTGCAGCAGAGCCTCAGACTGGTGGCCCAGCCCTGGGCCTCCACTTCCCACTTACAGTGGAGCTCCAGTGCAGGGAGGCAAGACTTGGGCCTTGTCAGCCTCTGYGGGAGGCGGGCCCTGCTTTCCACCGGGGCTCAGGGAGTGGACTATCACTCAGGGTCCCCGTGGGCGGCCAGTGGCAGACTCCACTACAGTAATTTGCACAGGGTTTAGTTACAGAGATGGCAGTGACAGGAGTYGGGGACCGTGGGAGCAGAGGGGTAGGGGTGCAGCCACTCGGGGTTTGCAGCTGCAGAGCTTCCGTCACCCCTGGTGTGACAAGGGCGGGCTGAGGGCAAGTTCCTGGAACTAGGATAAAGGCCCAGCGGCCTCCCAGACTCCAGCAGGAGGCCCAAGTCCGCCTGCAGAGGACACAGGGAAACAGAGACCCTGGTCTCTCTCCTCCCCCGTGTCTCCTGCCCAGGGAGGGGGCTCAGGCCTGCCCCTTGGGTCGCTGCAGGGTGGGGACCCGCAGCCTAGTTCTCTTTGGCTTCTCCCGTGTTTTCTGCATGGGTTTATTTTCACCAAGTGAATTCACGGGGCCGAATGGAAGGTGTCCAGCGGCCCCACACCTTTGTGGGACAGAGCTGGAAATGTCCTGCTGGTCTTGAGTCGGGGCTGAGGGCTCCATCGTAGCTGCGCCCCCACGACAGCAGCTCCTTGGCCTCCTCAGTCCCTTTCCCTAACCGCCCTCCTTCCCGGCCCCATCGTCCTTTCTGAAGCTGTGCTCAGAGGGACGCGCCCAGGACTCAAAGGCACCTGGTTCTTTCTGCTACTAACTTCTGCCTTGACCACTGGGCAACCCCTTCTTGCTTCCGGGCTGTGGTTTCCCGACCTGGGAGACGGAAGGGCCAGCCAGTCCACCGCTCGGGACCCCTTCCCCAGCTCCTGCAGAGCAGGCCTGAGAGGAGGGAAGGGAAGAGGGTCCTCGTGGAGACCCTGAGGCCCAGGGAGCCGGGCTGGCCGAGCAGGCCCCACCCCGATTCKCGGCTCTACCTTCCCCCAGGGGTGGGGTCGACACTTCTGCTTCAGTCACAGCCCRAGTGACACTTCGAGGTCCCTCCTGTGTTCTTGGTTGTCTGTGTGTGTGGCTGTGGATGGGAACGTGGAAGGACAGTGGTTTCTATCAGGCTTCTAGGCCTCGCTCCTTCCTCCTGCCCAACCTGGGGGTTTGGGGTCACTTCTTGGCTTTTGAGCTTATGGGTGCTCCACAAACCTCAGAGAGTGATTTGTCAGGAGTATCAAATAGCGTGGGGAGCTCTGGCYGATCCTGAGTCCCCCTGACCCTGTTCTGCCACGTCCTACCACAGCTACAGAGCTGCCCTGAACCTTGCCCCCCAACTCCATGGGCCTGTGTACTGAGGCCTATACCCTAGGCACCCCCCAAAAAAGACCACTTCATTTAACATCAGGCCCTGAAATCAGGTTTTCTGCACACCAMGGCCCGGAAGCCCTCAGAGACCACCCTGTTGGAGTGACTGCACTGCCCGCCTGCGTTGTGAGATTTTCCAGCCTGCGCGCATGGGCTCTGTGGGAAGCAGAGTTTTCTGAATGAACATCCCCGGCTCTGTGATGGCCTGAAAATATGGTCTCTTGGACCCRTACCACATTTGCCCACAGAGGTTTATTTTTACAAAGCGTACAAAGTGAGATGAATTGCCACAGTTAGCAATCAAATTGGAGTTTATGATTGCTTWAAAAAAATGAGAAGACCTGGAAGTTTTGGGCTCACATTTCCACCTGGGAAGGTTTGGCTGGAGGAGAGCTGCAGCATGGCCCCGCCCCCACCCCACCCATAAATAAGACTCACACTTGCTGATTCACCACCGTCCTCACCTGTCCCTGTTTTCTTCCAGTTGGGAACTGAATGTCTGTGGCCACGTATCACTAAGTTCATGCTGCTTTTTCTCAAGCCAGAGGGTTACCAGGAAAGTAAAATATTTCGAGTCTCCACATTTCCAGCCAAAGCAGAAGAGCAGTTTACACGACCTGCCTGCCCATTTCGTATGGGTTGCTGATGTAGAATTTTGGCTCCAGAGGTGGTTTTGTCCCCATTGTCTCCTCTGCCACAACACCACCATCACGGTCACCGTCCTATATATCCTATCTATTGGCCTCACGTGGGCAGTGAGCTAGGTYGGGGCGGTCCTTGCTTGGTCTTAGAGATAAAGCAGGGAGACGAAGAGCAAAGGTGTGGTGGTGCACGCTTGTAATCCCAGTGTCTTGGGAGGCTGAGGCAGGAGGATCACAAGTTTGAGGCCAGCCTTGGCAACTTAGCAAGACCCTGAGMAAGTTTGCAAGACCCTGTCTCAAAATGAAAAAGGACTTGGGATGCAGCTCAGCAGCACAGTGCCCCTGCGTTCCATCACCAGTACCAAAAAGTAAAAAATAAATGGCTGCAGGAGGGTTTTGAAAGATGCGCTCTAAGCAGCCCGTGGGACAGTCTGCTGACTTTTTGCCCKACCCCTGCCCGAGCTATAGTCTGTGCAGCAGTGACTGCCAGGCTTGGAATGTCGGAGGGCTGGGACAGTTGGGCCAGGGACCTCGGGGTTGACCTGTAAACTCAGCCACCTCAGTGATAAAGCCTGAGCCCTCACCACACGGCCCCGCTTCGGTTCCCTGGAGGCTCTCCCAGAAGCCCCTGGGGGGCATAATCCAGGCAGGTTCCCCCAGCCAGGTGGGGCAAGCACCTGGCCCGGTAGAGGAATTGCAGGTGACCGTGATTCATGTGGCAYTGCCCCTCGTGGGAGCCAGACCTTAGGGACCGGTCACAGGAGCCAAGGAGGTCGTCATCCCAGCCGTTGTCTGCATCCCAAACCTGCACCCTCAGGGGGCCCCCTGTGGTCAGAAGCACATCCCCAAAGTCCAGCCGAGTCATCCATCTGGGGTTGTTATTGTTCCATAYGGTGCCGGTCCTCAGCTCCTGGCCACCAAAGAAGACCTTCACATAGGCGTCTGTAGCACTGCCATAGTCTCCCCACARATTCCACGCTTGGACGATGGTCACCTCCAGCTGGGCCAGGCCCCTCTGGCGTGGACAGCAGTCTTGGTTGGTGACTGCTGAGCCGTGGCACACGCACTGGCACGGGTCATGGGGACTTTTCTGTTGCCCAGGTGGGCAGGGCCGGCTGCAGTCCCTCCAGCGTGCCTTGCCMATCAGGTAGTTGCTCACCGCCTGCCTCAGCGCCTCCCGCCGCGGGTCCTGGCCGTCCACCAGGAAGTGCAGGGGCTCCAGGCTGTAGTCCACCAGGCCGGGGCTGCTGATCAGCGAAGCCACCCAGGCCGAGTACTGCTCAGGCCCAGCCTGGTTCCCGAATAGCAGGTCGCGCAAGGAGGCGTGGCGGCCGCCGACCACCTCCGAGTGGCGCTCGTTGTAGGTYTGGTGGAAGGAGGTTATCATCTTGTGCCGCTGCTTCTTCTCCTCGCAGGCCTTGAACTCGGAGGAGGACTCGGCATGGCCACCGATGCTCACCTGGGCCTCCACGGCCAGGCAGTCCGCCACCTCGTCGGCCGTGAGCCCATCCAAGGCCAGGGCACAGGTGCGCAGGGCCGTGAGGGCTGAGACGCGGCCACCCAGCTCCACGGACCGGATGAAGTGGGTGCCGTAGTTGTGGATGAGCCTGAGGTAGTCAGGCTCGGTGGAGGTGTTGAGGTGCGGGGGCAGGTCCCCAAGTGCCCTCTTGAAATCAGGGTGCAGTGGGGGTCTGTGCACCACGTGGAAACTGTGGGGAGAGAGAAACACCAGGTAAGCCCGAGGGTGGGTAGTGTTTTCCCCACTCAATAACTCCTGCAAGACCTCCCAAGTTCAAGTGTGAGTGGGAACAACCAGGACTTGAACCCAGTGCCCTTGGCTCCAGTGCCAAAGCTCTGGGCAYTACCGCTCCTTGGTGATGAGCTACGTGACATAGGTCTTGCCTCATTAAATGAAGCATTGTATTTTCTGGTTATAAAAGCATGGATGGTCTCTACCTCGCTTTTTTATTGTTGTTTATTGGTACCGGGGATTAAACTCAGGGCCACTCGACCACTGAGTCACCTCCCCAGCCCTAATATGTATTTTATTTAGAGACAGGGTCTCACTAAGTTGCTGAGGGCTGYGYTGTTGCTGAGGCTGGCTTTGAACTCACAATCCTCCTGCCTCAGCCTCCCGAGCTGCTGGGATCACAGGTGTGCACCACCGCGCCCGGCTCCCATCTTGCTTTTGAACCTTCACTCCTCCGTTCCTCTGGCTCAGGCTCATGGGTCTGGGCTCCCAACTGTTCTGGCCATGCAGGCAGGAGGTGCCCTGCCTCACTGTGGAGGACTCACGGCCCGGGAAATCAGAGGAGTGACTCGGGTGKCCATTGCTTGGTGTGGGACTTGTGTCCCAGGCTCCCTGTTCTATGRGGGCTGGAGAATTGACAGCTGTTGCTTAGTCGGGTCGCCCTGTCACATGARCCAGGTGTGAATATTGGTTCAATGGATAAATGAGGCCCAGATCAGATGCCCAAGATCACACAGCAATAAGGAGGGAGGACCCAGCCAGGTCTCTGGTCTCTGTCCCTATCCAGGTAGGACCCCATGGGAGGCTGGCAGTGCCCAGGAAGGAGRTGGGTGGGCTCTCAGCACACCTCCCTGGTACCACATTAGGACATCAGGCACAGTCTTGCTCACTTTCCCTCTGCCTGGGCTCTCAGTGGCCCTCCTAGATTTGGGCCCTCCTGGATGGGAAGAGGCCCAGGGGCTGTCACCTGAAGCCTGAGAACCAGATCTCTGGTTTCCTCCTGGTGGGAGCAGCCTCCGAGTCCCCATCCTGCAATTCCAGAGCTCCTAGATGGAACTTGGGGTTTCCCCATCCTCGTCCACATCACCTGCACCACCCCCGGCCCTCACCTRTAGAGGCGACACTCCACCGTGTCCGTGCTGAAGATGTACTGGTCCTGGTGGGTCTTTTGGGCTGCGAAGTCCGCTGCCTTGGAGTGCGAGCCGGCCACAGACATGTGCACGTTGCTGCTGGGCTCCGGGGGAGTCACGTCCAGCCCCACCCGCCAGTCATTGTTGATGTTGGAGGCCGCCTCCCGGGCCACCTCCTCGGTGGAGCTGATTTTGGCCTTGGCTACTTGGCGCCTGCAGCTGGAGCCCTGCCCACGCCAGTGGGTGAGCGCCAGGGGCAGACGCTGCAGGGCGCCCTTCTGCAGGGGGTTTTTACAGAGGGTGCAGGTGCCGTCGGGCCGCAGGAACCTGTGTGTGTCCACGGGGAAGGAGCCGGAGCGGCGGAGGCTGGTCACRTCCACACCTTCCCCAGCCAGCAAGGCGCCAGGCACGGGGTCATGGTTTTGCTTGCACTCTGATCGCGCAGCTGTGTAGCAGGGGGCTGGGGCAGGTCGGGGCAGCAACAGGAGGAGAATGCCCCGGAAGAGAAGTTGGGTGCCCATGGAGCTGTGGGAACAGGGAGCTTTGAGCTCTGGGACCCCGGGCAGAGGGAGGGAGGGTGGCTGTGTTCTCTGCCCACCAGTGGGGATCACTGGAAGGGCAGGGATTCTGCTAAATGACTGAATGCGGGAGCTGCGTCAGTTCTACAGCTCGGTGCAGACAGGCCCAGGGAGTGTGTCTGCCCAGCCCGGCATCCAGCAGGGCTCCTTTGCTAGGAACTTACTAAGGCCTCCCTAATGGGAATCTGGATGGATGTCTGTGTCCCCAGGACACAACTGCTGCTGCTGGTGAGGACGGGGCTCTGGTCTCAGAAGAGGGAAGAGTAGCTGGAAGCCTGAGGACCTGCCAAGTCTGGATTCCGGAGGAGGTTCCTTTTGGGCTCTGGAACTGCTGGCCCTCTTCCACCTGATTCTCACTCTGTGTCTCCAGCTCTCATCCCCATCTCTCCCACCGAGTCCTTAACAGAACCGGGAAAGAAATGAGGCCATGCACACCCTTGCGCTCCCCATTTTCCCTTCGGGGTCTCCCTCTGAGCCTCACTGGAGAGGCATGATGTGCCATGCTGTGGGGGTGGGTAGACGGGGGAACAGATGGGGGCTGTGTGTGCCCACGCCCTTGGCTCTGGTGGGGGAGGGGCCTTGGGTTTGCTATGCACACCCTTCCTGGTGCCCGGGTCTCCCCTCCGGCATTCCCCACCAAGCTCCTGGACGTCTGGCAGAGACCTACCTGTTGTCTACATTGGCTGGAAGTTTCTCCCTCCTTCTGAGATGGCTTGGTGCCTACCTATGATTGGGAATCTCCTCTCTCTCTCTCTCTCTCTCTCTCTCTCTCTCTCTCTCTCTGTACTGGGATTGAACCCAGGGCACTTAACCACTGAGCCACATCCCCAGCCCTTTTTTTATATTTTATATAGTGACAGGGTCTCACTGAGTTGCTTAGGGCCTCGCTAAGTTGCCGAGGCTGGCTTTGAACACACGATCCTCCTGCCTCAGCCTCCTGAGCTGCTGGGATGACAGGTGTGCACCACCACACCTGGCTGAAATCTCCTCTCTATCCCCCTGTGACCTGAGCTGCTCAGGGGCCTTTTCTCTCTGGTGCCTGCAGGGATCTCAGTTTCTGAGAAAAGGGGGTCATGGAGGACAGGAATGTCCCTKACATGGAGCCTTCCAGGCCCAACCCAAAGAGGTGACTTGAAGGTGGAATTCCAGGACCATGCAGGGCTCAGGGGGTGCAGAGGGGAGGGCAGCTTCCCAAGTCCCCCCGGGCACCCCGCTCAGGGGACCACAGGCTTCTGTCGTGACCCTAGCCCGGATCTCGGTCTCCACCGGCCTTGTCCTCTTGGCCATTTGTTTTCAGAAGCTCTAGCTGTTGCTGGAGGGGCTCTTGGAGACCATGAGTGCGACTCCATCATGAGGAAACTGAGGCCAGAGTGGGCCCAAGGCTGCCCAGGGAGGCAGTGAGGGCAGGCCGGGCCCTCTGAGGCCCAGAGCTCGTATCTCACGGGTCAGGGCACTTCCTGCYCCCCCCCCCCCCCGTGAGAGCGGCAGCCATTCCCTCCCACCCAGGACCCCCGGCCCTGACCCCCGCCTCCGCCCTACCTGGAGTCCTGCGAGAAAATGCCGTGGGGCCGCCACCGTGCTCCCCACCGGAGTCTCCTGAAATAGTGGCGTCAGCCCCCCAGGCAGGCTTGCCCCAGCCACGTCACATCACTTCAGCTTCCTGTCCCACCTCCAGCTGTGGCCACAGGTCCCCCAGCACCCACCCTGTCATCACCCCCTCATCCGGCCCTGTTGACAGCCCGCAGGAAGCAAGCGGAGGGGCCAGAGGCTCATCTGCCACAAAAGCCTGGGCCGCGGGACCTGGGGAGGTGCCACAGGGCTCCGTGCTCCACGCTAAGCGAGCCCTGCCCCTTCTGCTCACGTCAGATGTGCCTAGGGCCGGCTGGCCTCGGGCCTGCGTCAAGTGCTTAGAACTGTGCCTGGCCCTCAGAAGGTGTCCGTATATGTGACTGTCCCCTGCTCCTGGAGCAGTGAGGAGAAAAGACGTCCAAAGCTGGTGTCCATTCCTGCCCACTCCTTCATGCCAGCCCTGTCCCGGGCCCAGCAGGCCCTGCTGAGAGATCCGAGCCGCGCTCCTCCACTCTCTGCCCTGCCTCAGGGCGGGGGAGGTTTCCATGGGGCAAGTGACTCACAGGTCACCTTCTGGGGGGCCAAAGCACACTGGTTCTGAGGTGGGACACAGGGGTGAGTGTGGGGGGGTCAGTTCTCAGTCCTTCCAACTGTGTCTGTGACAGGAAAAAATAGCCACAAGCCTCAGACCACGTGTGACACCGTGTGTCATGGGTCACGTCTTGGGGTTCATCCCTTGAGTCTCTGTCCCCCCTGCACCCCCGCTCTGACGGGAACAGGGGCTCACACTGCCTTCTCGGAACTGGCCCCATCCTCTCCCCTTCTTCTCCCAGAGATTGCGGCTTCCTGACCCCCCCAGCTCCGGCCCGTGGCCTGGCTCAGACACCAGGGCTGGGAGGAGTTTCATTTCCGACATCCGAGGAGGGGCACGGAACGCACATGAAGACCCTGCAAAAATCTATAGGAAACGAAAGCGAGGCTCGAAACAGGCTCTAGTCCCAGCCTCACGGGCAACTTGCTGTGGGACTCTTGGCAAGACACTTTAAGCCCTGGCTGAGCCTGAGTCTCCTCACCTCTCAAATCAAAGGGAGAACGTGGGGATCCCCAGGAATCCTTCCAACTCATGACGAGACAAGCATTTGGCAGGTGTCCAGTGGCTGGTGCCTATGATGGTGTGGATGCTGCCCATCGAAGAGCCCCATTGACATCCAGGATGACAAGTGGGCTTGGCTTCTGGTGACGGCCKTCCTGTCCAGGTCAACCTTGTGCTTGAAATGTGCATTAAGCACAGTCACCCTCAGAGACACAAGTTTCAACAAGGGCACACTTTGTCCATTGCCAGACACCATCCACATGTCCTTTAAAACAACTCTACCGAGATGTAATTCACAAACTGTATATTCACCGGATTACAGTCCCCGACTCAATGCATTGTTTTTAGCCTGTTCCTGGAGCTGTCCACCCATGGCCACAATCAATTTTAGAACATTTTCATCACTCCTGAAAGGATTCCCCTGTTMCTGTTGGTGGTCAGTTCTCATTTCCCCCCAACACGTCCATGGGTTCTCCTAGTTTGGACATTTCATCTAAATGGGATCATAGGACATGTGACCTTTCGTGTCTGGCTATTTCATTTAACAGAACATTCAGGCTTCATCCGTGCAGTAGCTCTGTCAGTACTTCATTGCTTTTCACGGTTGACTGTTCCAATAGACCACGTTTTGTTCATTCACACATCAGTTGATGGGTTTTGGGTTTTTCCCACTCTTTGGCTATGAACATTTTTTCCCACTCTTTGGCTATGAATCATGCTGCTATGAACATTGGTGTTCAAGTTTTTGCGTGAGCATACGTTTTCTTTCTTTTTTTTTTTTCTTCCTTTTTTTAGTACCAGGGATTGAACCCAGGGGTGCTTAACCACAGAGCCACGTCCCCACCCTTTTTAAATATTTTAATTAGAGACAGGGTTTAGCAACAATTAAATTGCTTGGGGCCTTGCTAGATTGCGGAGGCTGGCTTTGAACTCAAGATCCTCCTGCCTCAGATTCCCAAGCTGCTGGGATTAAGGCAGATGCCCCCGTGCCCAGCTGAACGAACATGTTTCATTGTTCTTGAGCTTGTACCTTGAGTGGAATTGCTGGGTCCCATGGAAACCCTGGGTTTTTACCGTTTTAGAAACTATTTTCCATATATTCCTAACAGCAGCATGTGAGGATTCCAATTTCTCCACCTCCTTTCTCACCCTTATTTGTCATTTTTATTACAGCCATCTGAGTAGGTATAAAGTGGTATCTCCTTGTGGTTTTGATTTGAATTTTCTAATAGTTAATGGCACATGGTTTTCCATGTTCTTGTGAGCTTTTTGTTGATTTTCTTTGAAGAAATGTCTCCTGAAGTGCATTTTTGAAGTGAGTTGTCCTTTTATTGTTGAGCTCTCATAGTTCTTTTTATGTTTTGGATTCTAGAACCTTATCAGATATATGATTTGCAAATATTTTCTTCTATTCTGAGTGGCATTCTCATTTTTTTAGACGGTGTCCTTTTGAAGCATAAACATATTTCATTTTGATGAAGTCCAATGTATCTATTTTCTTTTTTTTTTTTTCTTGTAGTTCTTAGTCATATCTAAGAAGGTTCGGTCTAACCCAAGGCTATGGAGATTTACTCTGATGTTCTCTACTAACCGTTTTGCAGTTTTAGATCTACGGTCCATTTGGAGTTCATTTTTGCGTATGGAAAAGCATCCAATTTCATTCTTTTCCATGTGGTTTTCCAAATGGTTCTGATCCTTTTAAGGTTGCAATTTGTATGTGTGTGTGTGTGTGTGTGTGCATATTGCTGGGGACGGAACCCAGAGCCTTGAGCATGCTAGGCAAGTACTCTAATACTGAGCCACATCACTAGCCCTCAGAATTTCAATTTTTTAAAAAAAACAATTGTTTTTTATTGTAGATGGACACAAACCATTTATCTATTTCTTTATTTTTATGTGGTGCTGAGGATAGAACCCAGTGCCTTACATGTGCTAGGCAAGCGCTCTACCACTGAGCCCCAGCCCCAGCCCCAACATTTCTATTCTTGATAGAAAATCTCCATAGATATTGATATTGGCTATGGCTTTGACATCTTCCAAAATTCATATTAAAACTTAATCCTCAATGCAATAATAATAAGTGGGGAGACTTTAGGAGATAAATCTGAGATAAAAGGGGCTCGAAGGAATCTCTTAGTTGCTTTTTGTTCTTCTGCTTTGGGCCACATTGAGGACATGGCCACGAGGTGACATTGGTGGAGCAGAGAGTGAGCCCTCCCTGGGAGCTGAACCAGCTGATGCCTTGGTCTGGGCTTCCCAGCCTCCAGAACTGTGAGAAATA